CTGAGTTTATAGAATAGTTTCAGAGCTTCATTTAAATGAGAGTGTAAAAATACAACATAGGATTAAACTTCAAAAAAAGCCTCGTATTTGTGTTGCCATTTTAAAGCATTTCCTATCACTAACTGCAGATGGAAAAATCACACATGCACTCACCACAAGAGCAGTGTTGTCTATTTTTCTCACTGATGATGTCTAGTTTGAAGCCCAAATTACATGATCAAGTTTACCTTCATGTATTCCTTTTATTTGACAAAGTAACTATATCCTGAATACCACCAAATGAGTAACTGTACCGGAATACAGTTACTCAAAATAAGTATTCAGAACATGTTTTCTTGCTACATATATTCAGTTACTTCCAAACACTGTAATATATATTCACACTACACTACACACTACTTTGGATATTGTTTTTTTTTTTTTTTTACTTTGCCAGGACTATACTGTTTAAAGTATTTGTATTTTGTATTTATGAATTTATTTTGGGCAAGTAGAGATTTACATTCATATACATCGAAAAATATAACATAAGTGAAATCGTAATAGAAATAAAATAACCACAACAAAAACATTGCCCAAAAAGAAGTGGAAACAAGAAAACTTATTAAATCTCACCCTAATCTAACACACTATCTTTTGCATTTATCAGACATTTTGCAAAGTACCATTAAAGTGTTGACAAAATAACATTAAGCTAATATTGATACCAGAATTGAACACTGCTACAAATAAAATCTTTTGATAGCAAATGTTGGTGCCTGGTGGATCCAGGGAGCACAGAAAGTCATAAGCAGTGTCATCTAAAATGAATAAAATAGTATTTAATGGAAGTTTTAATTATTTATATTGGAAGATGTATTGAGAAATACAACAACAACAACAACAAAACATTATTTACCTGTACCTGTATGGAAAACAAATGAAAAGGTTTTAAGCTTTAGGTGAGTGCATCTTTATGTACTTAAAGGGCACATAAAGATGGTGTTAAATGATCTATTTATAATGTTTTCCTCATGAAAAAACACACTGGAGTTGTGTTTTGTTTAATTTACACATGAAAACCCTGTATATTTAGACAGAGTTCTTCTCCCAAACAGAAAACACCCTGTTCCACCTTGTGATGTCATGTGGCAATACAGGAAGTGCTCCATTGTCTTTTTAAATTCTGTGTACCTTCACTACAATCATTTGGATGATTTCAATCCTTACTGCCGATCTCAGCTGAATAATGCTGCTTAATCAAACGTGTGAATGAAACAAAACACAGCTCCAGGTTTGTTTTTAAGGAGATAACAACATTTGTATTTGTATTTATTTATTAAAGGGACAATGCATATTAAAAGGCAAGCCAATATAAGAGACAAACATGCACTTGTAAATGTGCAGGACTGTAGCCAAACCTAATGTCCATCCTTACCTGCTGGACCAAGGCCAGCCACATCACAAGCACAATTCATAAAACATGACAAAAGCCTACACACCCACTCTCACAGGCATCTCTCACTCATACACTATAAAACACACTGATACAATGTTAGTATTAAAATGTACAGGTCAGACATGTACTCTCATTACTTACACATACACAGCATTAACATCTATTTACAGGTCTATATTACAAATATGATTGTTGTCAGTGGCTCATGTGCAAAGTTGCTGTTTAAGTTCAGTTGTGTGGACAGATCTGACTGTCCAATAGCCATGATTTAGGTTGAGCAGAGAAGGAGCTGAGTGTAGGTAGCTCACTTATAGTCACTGGGATGGTGTTCCAGGTTTGAGAGGCACGGAAAGAGAATACAGCCTGGCACTTTTTCTTGATGGTATTATACAGTCACCTCTGGAGCTAGCTCTTGTTGATCTGTTATGATTTTAAACAAATTCTTCTATTGGGACAGGGGCCAGACCATGTAAAACAGCATTCTAACATGGCTTGAAGCTTTCAAGAGTCAATTTTGCATAATGTAGGACTTTTAAATAAGACACATGTGCTGACTTCTTAGAAAATTACATTGGATGTTTTGTGATTAATTACTATTTTATTCATGTTTTATAGGCTAGAGCTTGAGTGAATTGCAGTAGGATACAAATACTCATGTGTTTTCGTATCTGATGTGTCTGAAACACGTTACATGCTTCAGACTCCACTTGCAGCCATGTTGAATAATGTAAACACATTTTCAGCATTAACGCTAACCTTTGACCTCAACTCCTAGCACTCTACTCTTTATAATAAAACCACCTTTTGAAAACATATGTTAGCTTTAGTTCATTACTTTCAGTCTTTTTACCTGTATTCCTGCAGTAGTTTCATTTAGCCTGTTTTAAACCACATGTGCATTTCTTAAGTAAACCCAAACTTGTAACTGAATCATCTGATTATTTGTTTTGTTATATTTTATGTAATGTTCTCCCACAGTTCACAGCTCCCCCTTTCACATCGAGTGTCTGCAGTGTGCTTTGATGGTGGCAGCTGGAATTTGTTGGCTGGGGGAGGGAGGCCAAGTAGAAATAGCAAAGCTCTGGGAACCACACCGGTGTGTAGAAGATGAAGGGTGGGATCGCTGACAGGGGCAAAGGGGGAGGAAGGGGGGTCTGACAGGGGCAACGGTGGAGGAGGGAGGGTCTGACAGGGACAGAGGGGCAGGAGGAGAGCTCTTACAGGGGCAGAGTTGTGGGGGGAGTTCTGACAGGGACAGTGGGGGAGGGGCGGCAGCTCTGACAGGAGCAGGGGGGACACTGTCCATTGATTTATGGGAGAATATGGTTATCCATGCCATCAAATTGGAAATAGGAGTTTAATTGGGAAAATTGTTTCCTCATCAAAACATACCTGGAGTTTTGTTTTTTTCTTTCGCACATTTAACACACACATCCTGCATATTTAGGCTCTTCCCTCAAACAGATAACGCTCTGTTCCACCTTGTGATGTCATGATGTAATACATGAATGGCTCCTGTGTGTTTTACAACTTCATACACCTTCATTAGAATCATTTGGATAATTTCAACCCTGGAATTTCCCATCTCTTCTGAACTAAAGGTAAAAGGTAGCTGTTAACATTTTATGACATCAAAAGTTGGAACTGAGCATTTTAAGGTTTAGCGATGTAGACAGACTAATAATAGAGGATTACTCAAACGTGTGAATGAAACAAAACACAACACCAGGTTTGTTTTTGGGGAGGTAACAACATTCTGACATCAGTGCTGCTGTGTAATATAGGACCTTTAAATATTCACATTTTGTACTGGTTGGTGTATAGATTTGGCATGCCGCCTTCGGAAACTGTTGCAGAGAGCTGAAATGGCTGTTTTGTTGTTGATATGGGTCCTGCATGTGGGGCTGAAGTGTGTTTATGTTCTGAGCGAGGCTGTGATTTATTCTGGAGCGGAGAGGGGAGTGCAGTAGAAATCAATGATACTCTCAGTGCTTTATTTATGGTTGCGCCAGGCCCCGTTCCTCTGGGCCAGATGAGAAACTGCACTGGACTTTTGGCAGAGCGAAGGAGGTGGCGATGATGATGAGTGACGAAGAGCACCGGAGAGGCTGAGTCAGGCTGTGGAATTTGGGTGATCTTAATGCACCTCTCAATATCTCACAGGAGTTAAAAGAAAATGTGAAATGCTCAAATTGTTTAAGTCTATTTTAGAAGCAGTGGACAGTCTAGTTCTGAGTCTCTGCACTGGCTTCATAGGGCTCAGAGAATCGAAACACTCCAGGCACAGCTCATTTTGTCAATTTTTTGTTTTTGGTCAGTTTGATCTCTGAGCATGTGTTCTCATGTGGACACAACTAAATTATTCACTGTACACCGAAATATCTTTTAATATTTAATTTGAACAACTTGCCTCCATAGAGTTATAAATAACATTCTAACTTCAAAAGTCATTTTCTCAAAATGCATTTTCCCCCGAAAGGGATGTAAGGATCACCTCTTAAAGCAGCTCCTCCTTCCCCCAAAATGTCCAATCTGTACGTGTCTATGATTTTGACAAACTGTATATAAGGATTTTTTTTATCTAATTCCAAGTCTGATTTATTAAAGATTTTACAAAAAACTGAGGTGAAATTTGAATTTTTAGACACATTTTTTGTCAGATCTAGTTTACTCAAATACTGAATAAGATATAAATATAAATAAATACATAAATCTGTATATTTTTTAGTATCTAATATGTCAACAAAAAGAAGCAAGAAATTGCAGGCTCTTTTCATATTTCTTTTTTTCTTTTTTCTTTTTTTATGTCCCAAAAATTTCAATTTGGACATTTTTTACACATCAAATGCCTTATTTTTGTCATTTTTGTCATAATTTTTACATGATGGGAAAAAAACCCAAAACAAAACTTGTAAAGCTTTTTTTCTTACATTTCTGTGAGTAAGATGCAGAAGAAGTTTCAAAATATATAGATATCTCTAAATTTAAGATTATGGCCTATCCTCCAGGTTATCCTACCTGCAGTGTCTCACCTTAGCAGCTTGGATTGTCTCTGTGCACCAAAGTGCATCTCTGACATTAGTTAGTGTTATATGAACCATCTCACACTCTGAGGACCCCAGGGACCGGCCTCCTGCTGCCAGAGTCAGGACTAAACCAGGACTAAACATGGGGAATCAGTGTTCACTTTTATGCTGCTAAAATCTGGAGCAGTCTTCCTGAAGATATGAGATGGGCCTCTACTCAAGTCTAGTGTGAAAGTAGTGCTTTTTTAGCTGTGCATATGATTGGATTTTATCTGCACCCTTCTCACCTTTTTAAGAAATCATTTCATTTTGAACATTACATTTTTGATTGGAATTTTCAAGTGCACTTAAACTCGCCTTCCCACTGCATGTCAGCTTTGTGATAAAAGTTGCATTTTCAAAGTTATTTTTTATTTACAAAGGTACTGTAGTTGACTTTGTTCTATTTAGTTTGATTTGGTAATATTGCTAATAGATATCTTAAGAATGGTTATAATAATTATAATGTATCAAAAAGACTGTGTTTTGTTTTGCAGCTCCTCTTGTGCCTCATTTCACTGAGTGTATTTCGAGAGACATGACCACGTTCAGCTGTTGGTGGAGCCCCGGCAGTTTCCAGAATATCTCGTCTCCTGAAGATCTGAAGATTTTCTACATAAAGAAAAGGTAATTGTGGATTTAAAGGAGCTCTGCTTTACTTTTTGGTTGGAGCTCTGTCACCTGCTTGTTTCTATGGATATGTCGTTGCTTTGCCTGGAATGTTCCTTAATATAACATTAAACAACTCTGCCTTACTTTTATTCAATTAGAGGTCGTTTTACAGCTCAAAAATACATTTAAAACCTGGCATTCGGACTGTGAGCAGGATCGCCTCTCCGCAGATCTGACTTCTAATTTAGTCTGGTTTGGTGATACTGTGAAAACATTCCAGACAAAGCAATAGCGCCTCCATGAAAAAAAAATAAATAAAAAATGAATGGACCCTCCATCTGAAAAGTTACACAATGCACCATTAAATGCTCTGTATCTGATTTTTAGTCTGTTAAAATCATGACAACAACATCCTAATTATTCCACACAATGAGTTTAAAGGATGCTAACACATACTTTCTGATTATCTGACAATAAAACGCTGTATAATTAGATGCAGACAGTACACAGCAGACTTGTTTTGGCCTCAAGAGCTGCTTATACAATATGTGTACTGGAGCATGACAGATTTAGCTCGCATGATTTCAGGTTTTCATTTATTCTGTCTCCTTATGGATTAATTTGGCTGGGGGCAGGGGTCAGTCGCATTAAAATAACATACAGACACACTATGACATAACAGAAAACAAAAAAGGGAAACATCTAGAGCTGGACAATATCCTAGAGTAATCACTCAGGCTCCACACATCAGCACAGTCAGTCCAAATTGTTAATGTTTTATGGACTTTTTTTTTTTACATAAACGTGTCTCCTCCCACACTGTAGGAGCTCATACTGTGTGTTAGTCTGTGTGTTATGGGAAAAAAGTCTGTACAGCTTTTAACTATGAACATATAGAAAACATAATTAAACATAAGTCATTTCACTTTTTAACATATTTATGCATCTGATCCACAGCCCTGCAAAGACTGAGCGTAACGAGTGCCCACAGTATAATTACCTAAACCAGGAGTGTTTCTTTGACGCTGACCACACCACCACCTGGTTCACCTACTGTCTGGAGCTCGATGTTCACAATGTGACATATGTCAATGAATACGACTGCTTCTCTTTGCCCGATATCGGTGAGAAATCTGTGTTTTTGAATGTAATACATAGTTTTGGCAATATCATTTTAAAAATTGCACTACTTAACTTTTCTAATTAAGGGTTCACCAACTGCTTGTCTAGATATATCTTGTCTATTCTTGTCTAGAATAAAGATTAGCTATGGAAATGATTTTGTTGCAGTAGCTCATTGTATAACAACAGCCAAAACGACATTCAGTCACACACATTTATTTGCCTGTTGCCTATATTTTGCCTGAAGTGTTACAAAGTATGGCATAAACTCCATGGAGATAAGCAGGTGATGCCTGGCTAACTTAAAGGACAGATCTGTGGAGAGGCAAGCCGCACAGTATGGTATTTGTCAAGGTAATAAAAACACCTCTAACTGAATCAATGCAAGATAGATCTTTTTATTGCCAAATTATGAAATATTCTAAGCAAAGCCTTCACGTTTCCATACAGATTTTTTTCTTGAATAATGTGCGATTTGAAGTGAATTTCAGTGCTCATAAATGATACATATTTTTTAAGTTATGTCTTAAAGCTACCATCTGCAAGTTTATTAGATTTTTTTTTTTTTTAACGGCAGACAGCCTGTTACCCCTCCCCTCACCTGGCTTTTGTTTAGGCCATAGACTGTATAATGAAGTGGATTAAAGGCTACCACACACTAAATGAACACAAAACGATTTTTAAAAGAATTTTAAGAAGATTTAAGAATTGTAAATCTCTGCTTGCAAAAGACGGCTGTGGGATATGGCTGCGGACCTCAGGATACAAAGCTGTGAGCACTCCTCACGTCAGCTGTTTCCTGTCTAAGTAAAACGACTCGCTTTGAGACTCTTCTGTGGTCAAAAGATCAGAGCACAGCACTTTTAGTTTAGATGCAAGTATGTTATTATAATTTATAAAATGTGGTGCAGTACTTCAAATATGTGATTTTTAATGCAGAGGACAAATTTTATGGATAATGTGGATGAGAGGCTGCAGTTTATATTTACAACTTTTCAAAAGGTGGGTATAATTATTTTTGCTGTTTCCTGAGTTTGTATCTAGAGCCTCGGTGTTTGTCACTCCGTCTGTGTCTGACACACTTATTGGCTGGTGCCGTTGTGATGTTTTACTGTTATGATCTGACAGAGCAGTTCAGAGTCACACTGACACCACACATGAGGAGCATAGCGGCTTCAAAGTCACACACAAAGATGCAAAGTTCACACCTCTCAGAACTCTAGAAGAAGCATATCGCAGTGTAAATCGGACAAATTCTCCTGTCGTGTTTGGGGGCCTTAAAGGAGTCGACATCACCCGTAATGTTCGGCTCCAGTCCTGTGAAGCTTGACTTGGCTGGCAATTATAGAGGCAGATTTGGACTACAGACAGCAGTAAACAGAATCTAGTGATAATGTGAGAATTCAACACTGATGGGTCGCCAGTCTAATTGAGTATGGTCGCTTTAAAGCAACACACACACCTTTCATTAGTCAAGTCAAATGTATTTGTAAAGCACATTAAAAAGATCCACAGCTGACCAAAATGCTTTACATACAACAGTAAACCCCAATAAAAATAAATAATAAAACACAAGAAAAACAAGCAAGAAAAACTGGGTTAAGACAGTTTAGGTTAAAATTATAATAATAATTGAAACTGAAAGGTGCTGCAGCTTAGTTGGTGGTAAATACTTGCAGTTCACTGAACAAAGACCAGCACCAGCAGAGGACTGTGACTGTTACATAAAATATATTGTTCAGAATAAACATACAGAGATGTGGAGGAAAATGGCCAATTATGATCATTTACTGTTCTGCACAGAGTCAGACTCTGCTTTGTCCAATGACACCCATTTGGTTTCTATCAGCTCAACTCACAAATGTCACCTGCTTATCTGTTTCACAGGCTTGTTTTGATGTTTCACCACCTCATATCATATCACATCAAAGATTTACATTATGGATGGATTTTTTTAAGGTCCTGAATTGCAGAATAATGACTTGTGAGATTTAAGTCATGTTAAAATGTCATCAGTCTCATCAGTGTCATCAAAAACATACCTTGAATTGTGTTTTGTTTCCTGTTTGGGTAATTTCACATTATTAATCTGTTTACATCTCCAAAGCTCCAGAGCTTTTTCTTTTGAGAGAAGAACTCAGCTAACTATGCAAGGTTTGTGTCTTAAACATGTGTGAATGAAATAAAACACATCTCCAGGTATGTTTTTGGTGAGGAAACAACTTTATAACATACATCAGAAAATAGCATAATATGGGCCCTTTAAAGTTACATTTTATCATAGCAAATATATATTCATTGTTTCTAATTAATTTAATTGTGATTGCAAATATTGATGCTACAAATGCCAGGGAGCTTGATTATGAGAAAAACAAAATCTTGAACATGTGTATTTGGGTCATAATTGAAATAATGTACAATGTGTTTACGTCAGCAGCTAACAGGAATAAAAGTGTCATATCAGCGCTTTTATTTGAAATTTGTAGAGGACAGAGGGCGGACATAGGCGTTAGGTGAAATAAAACTCAGACTCAAATCAAAATGAAACTGATCAAACATAGATTTATTTTTGTAATTTCATTTTTTGTAAGTGATTGTAGGTATAATAATGTTATTTGGGTTGCACACCCCTAACTGTCTGTTGTGCTATTTCCTCTCAGTGCGCCCGGACCCTCCCGTGGCTCTGAACTGGACCTTGTTGAACCCGAGCCCCTCTGGCCTTAGTTATGACGTGCTGGTCAGCTGGGACCCTCCGCCCTCCGCAGACGTCAAGACTGGATGGATGCGCGTCGAGTACGAGCTGCAGTACAGAGAACTCAACTCCACTAATTGGAAAAAGGTTTGTGTCTTTTATAGGCCTGTCGCAGCAATTACTATATTGATTTAACGTTCAATATATGTAAACTGGAAGAATATATTACTGGGGCTTAATATTTAATCTGGGTGTGTTTTCTTTGCAAAAGTAGGGAGATTTTTCTTTTGTTAGATGTAATGCGAATAAAATTTCAGCACTAGAGGGTTGAAGAAGTCACTCTTGTGGCTAATTACTGCTTCATTCTGCTATTTATGTGTTGAAGCTCATGGCTTTTAATGAGACTGTCTAAAAATGACTTACTGGGATTATATTGTTTTATTTTAGTCTTAATCAGTGACATAAAGTAATTTCAATATCATCGTTTATCTCAATATTTCTCTGTAGAAATACTGGATATCTTGCTTCAAATTTAGTCACGTGACAGGCTTAGTCATTTAGTCTTTTCCCAAATCTCGGAGAAAGAAGGGCAATAATGTCTTTCCCCTTGATTCACCAAACATTCTTTTTGTTCCATCTTTAAATCCTCTTGGGAATCGTTACCAACACAGAATGTATGGCTTCATCCATCTCGACCGCTTTGTTTACTGTTGTGCTGTACCACAAAAGGGACCCAGACAGGCGCTTGAATTTGACGTCATGGTACAGCTCTTTGCTGATTGGCCGGTGTACGGTCTACAACTTCTGTGGTTTTTGCAAACCATCTAGTGTATTCCGATTCCTGACCTAGTCGCTGGAGAGAAATGAAATTGAGCGGAGGCACTAGGTGGCACCAGCCTGGCTACTAGTCATTAACCTTTCAACTGAAAAAAAAGAAAGCTTTTACCCACCCCATTTATACATTTTTTCCTGTTTTATCCATTTGACCCATTCTTGAATGCCGCTGAGGGAACTTGTCTGATCTTGAGCTTGGTTTGGTCAGTTGGAGGATTTTACCTTTTGTACATATTTTGGGTTGATGGGGAAACCCACAGGGAAAATATATAACTTTCTTGGTGTGAGATGAAGGTATATTTTTAAGTACACAGAGTAAAAAAATGGCTATGGTCCCTGTGAACCAAAGTTTGTGTTTCTTATTAATACTTATTTCATACTTACCCATATACCCATATGCTTTTGCTGCACTGAAGAAAGTGTATGTACGCTGCGGGGACAGTATTGAGTTTCAGCCCCCTCCTGTGAACTCTTTGGGCTGAAGGGCAGTATGTAGCTTTGTTGGCAAGCCTCTGGAAGCCTGAGTAAAGCCCTCTGGGAAATCTCAGCCTTCTTGAAGGAAGTGCAGGGAGGGCTGGGTGGGTCAGAGGCCATGGGACCCTGAACAAGCTCATATTCTTTACCCCCCAGCCTGCCTGTCCACTCAAAGCAGAGCCACAACTGTTTTTAGAAGCTTCCTCTCTGACAGTTTGTCCTACATCTTGTGCATTTACAAACAAATTTGTACAAACAATGGTGGTAGTGCTCTGGTAGATTTGCTCTGTTACGTTTGCTTAAATTTAACTTTGATATTTTGAAGAAGCAAACACAGTAGTTTCTGGATTTCTACTTGAGTGATACATACATACATACATACATACATACATACATACATACATACATACATACATACATACATACTTTTACTTAAAGGTGCACTGGAATCTGGAATCTTCCAAGGTACATTGAACATTTATTAATTACAGATATTTTTACTGCTCAAAATACAATAATTCCTTATTTGAACATGGGCAGCTCTCTACAGATCTGAAGTGCACCTTTTAAGTCAGTGTTTTGGTGTCAATTTGGGGAAAAGCTATACACAAAAAAGCTAAGTAAAGTAAAGTAATTTCTGTTTCTTGCACCATACTTTCAGATGTGATTTAGCGTGACCTTTTTTATTTACATGATATTTGGTCTATCAGATTACATTCTAAATTTATGTATCTAAAAATGGCCTACCTAAAGATGCACCATGTAACTTTTCTATTTGAGAATCTCCTACCTTCCTGCCTCTATGGAGATGTTATTAATTTGCCTGGAATGCTCCACAGTAAGACATTACTCTATTCGATCTGCTCACTGTAAGAATGCATGTATATGAAGTGTTCATTTGCAAAAACAGAAGCCAAAAGTATTTTACTGCTATCAAAAAAAATGATTTCATCCCTTCTGAATAATATTGTCTATACATTTATATCTTTAGAGGAAAAAAAGTTGGCATTTTGGCAAAACAATATCTGTTTTTGCTATTGAACAATTTTTTATTTTTATTTTTCTTACAATAAAAAGACAAGATGTATAAGTCTAATAACATATTGTTGAGCATTCCAGGGAAAGCAATAATCACCTAAACATTGTAAAAACAAGAAGAAAGACAAGAGATTAATCAGGTTTTACTCGCGAGGAGAACGGACAGAGAGTGCATTCACTTACAGTCTCTACCCACCCTGATGCACTCAGAGCCGTCTTCTCTTTTTATTTCCATAGGGTGGTCCTTAGTTACAATGGGTGTTTCTTTGCTCTAAAGGGAGGGGGTGAAAACAGCAGAAACACCAGACATCATTATTCATTGTACAAATATGTATGATCAATAGCAGGTGACTGGCAAGATGCAACTACGCAGCATTCAGTAGTCAGGGAGTCGTAGGGACAGTTCCTTCCCTGCAATCCTTGAGAACTGTCTCTTCCTAGCAGAGCGTTGCTTCAGCCGTTGTGCTCTCGTTGTGCACATGGGTGGAGGGTCACTGCATACAGTTTCTAAAGCACAAAGAGATTATTCACACAATTCACACAAATAAAATACATAGAAAATATAGCAAATATGGGATAATATATATACAATTATTCTAACAAATAACATCTCCATGGAGAAGAAAATATGGCAGACCTGACATAGTGCAGCTTTAACTAACACTATTTGCCTCCTCTGTTGTAGTTGGAGATCCCGTCCGACCCTCAGCAGACGATCTACGGACTGCACGTTGGACGCGAGTACGAGGTCCACGTTCGCTGTAAGATGAAGGCTTTCACCAAGTTTGGAGAATTCAGCAAATCCATCTTTATTCAAGTCATGGGCAGTGGTGACGACGGTAAGATTATTTATTGATTTTGTCATTACTGAGACTTTATTGATCCTCAGATTACTTGGACAAAGGAGATTGCAGATTACAATATAATGACAAAGAGCAAAAAAAATAAATGATAGTAAAATTCAAAATAATTGACAGAAATAACAAATTATTTTAATTGTGTTTCTTTTTTAGGAACCAGCTTCCCCGTCATGCTGGCTCTCATATTTGGAATATCTGGATTCATTATTATCCTCATGTTTATTGTTGTGTCTCAACAGCAAAGGTAAAATTCTAATATTTGTCTGACATAATTTTTAAGAGTCCATGTAGATGTATTTTTTTTTCCTGAAATGTTCTACAGTATGGCCTTTTAATTTAATTTTATCTACCTCCATGGAGACAAGCAGGGCACATCATAAGGCCCAGTTATAGGTCAGATCTGTAGATAAGAAGTGGGCACGCAGACGATATTAATGTATCTTTTAGCTGTAGTTTGGAGTAATAAAAACACCTGTAATTGAATAAATACAAGATATATTTGTTTAATGCCTTACTGTGGAACATTTCATGCAAAGAAATGACCCTCCGCCAGAAAAGTTACACATTGTACCTTAAATAATTTGGTCAAAATACTATTCTTAATTTTTTTATATATTTTTTTTTTAGATTAATGATGATTCTACTGCCTCCAGTCCCAGCTCCCAAAATAAAGGGAATAGACTCAGAACTGCTAAAGGTTTGTGTTCATATTTATGACTACAGAGACACATTTGAAATCACAAATTTCACCCACAAATCTGAAAATTTCCCTACGACTAAATAGAGATAGATGGAAAATTACATTATTATTATTATTATTATTGAGCTCTGGTTGTCCAGAATCTAAGCTCAAATACTAATCGATACTAAAGCCAGTGTTTAAACTAGATACTTATTTGAACAAGTATCAGTATTGTTTTGTATTTTTATATAAGACTAACTTGCCTTTCCTTGTAAAGCAAAAGTTCACAGATTTTTCATACCAAATACCACCTTAGAAAATCTTTAACCTTTAAAGTACCACCACATTAAAACCAGGTCTTAACTATGGATACAACAAGATTACAAAACTGCTTTCCTACTTCTAAACAAGTACCAACCCAACGGAGGACAAAAATTTGCATTATATTGACTCTAAATTATGCAAATATTTGCATTGCAGAGGAATCCATGTGCCACCTGTGTACACAAGCTCCTTTATGTGGTACCCTAGTTCGAGAACCACTAGTGTATAGGACCACATGATAATTATGTTGTGTTGAAAATGGCCTGTGTTTTAATATAATTGTGGTATCGAGATTATTATTGGGTATTGAGCATTTCCTTCAAAATTCACTAGGTCCCAACATCTCTCATCGATAGACTAATACAAAGAGAGGGCCAGATGTTGTCTTATAGCAGTTAGCTTTGTTTACAAAGTGGTTACATAAAGGGTATTGTATAACCAGTATTGTTTTGGTTCTGTTGCTATTGTAATTGTGATTAAAAGCAGACCCTCCATGTGTCAGTATTAGCCACAGTCGCCCTCTGCTCATCTGCGTTGGTGTCCGCTTATTGTCCAGCGTCCTCCTCTGTATCGCACTAAAAAGGTTTGTTCATAATTTCAAATGAAAACAGGTGAAGTGTTTTTTACCAGGGGACAGAAAGACCACTACAGATAATTGAACGCAGAGTGGGGTGGGGGGGTGTTGGCACTTTTGGTATTGTGTGAAATTACTCCCAGATGCAGTGGGTTCTAAAAACACGTAGTCCCTTGGGAACATTGTTTATTGCTACAATAAACATTACACAGTTGGTTTTGTCTGTGACACCTCTATTGAGAGCTCAACAATGAAGGGTATATATCGAGATTTAAGATTTTGTTCACATTTTTATAGAAACAAAGTTGCTTTAGATGTACAAATAATGCATAGTTTTGTATGACATAAAATCCCAAATATAGGAGTTAAAAGTACTGAATGTTAAAAGTACTTCATGTTGTACTTCATTTAAGTGCTACATTATGTTTTTAAAATCTATACACCTTCACTACAATAATTTGGATAATTTTTGAGGACATAACAGCATTCTAAAATAGCGTAAAGCTCAGAAGAGTCAGTTTTGAACAATATAGGACCTTAAAATGTATGTACAATAACAGCAGCCCCTTGTGTTTTGCCGATGTTTTTGCAGAAAGGTAAATTAGAAGAGTTGAATTTGATCCTGAGTGGAGGTGGAATGGGTGGCCTGTCTGCACATGCACCTGACTTCTACCAGGACGAGCCGTGGGTAGAGTTCATAGAAGTGGACACTGACGGAGCCGACTGTGCAGAGAAAGAAGACAACCAGGGCTCAGACACCCAACGACTCCTGGCTCTGTCCCAACCTGTCGGAAACCTCATGCACATAGGGAGCTCCAACACAACCTGGTAATGTATAGACACGTATAGAAGGTCATGTGTTCAGACTTGTAAGGAGGTGGGGGGTGAAAGGGCTGTGGAAAGATAGAGTCATTAGTTTGAATTTGAAAGTGTTCAGTCTGTGTGATTTATTCTGTTCAGAGACAAATTTACAACCTTTAAATATTTGTACACTCAAAATGACAGAATGGAGCTCAACAGTGACCACCCATCCATCAGTTCTGGAAGTAAATTTTTCCCATATTAAAATTCTCATAATAATTTTATTTTAAATCTATGTCTGAATCTTTATAAACTGCAAAGTTACTGAAGCATTTTGCTGCATCTTTTGTTTTAAACATACTTTCTGGAATTAGCACATAACTGCTTATCCTCCACAATGTCTCTGAACTCTAATCGCTGGTGATCTCCATTATATATTACATGACTTAATGGAAGCTTATTTGGGGGGGATTAGGTTCTTCTAGTGATTCATAAATTCGCACTCCCTCTAGTGGTGTAAAAAAAAAAAAAAAAAAAGTTTCCAAAAGCAGATGTTGACCATGTATAGATTTTTGAGGGGAAAAAACAGGGCTAAGAACATTGATACACTAATAATAATAATAATAATAATAATAATACATAACACTTGCATAGCGCTTTCCAAGATACTCAAAGAAGACGCTTTACATGGGGAGACAAACAAATTCAAACAAGAGAAAAAGACAGTTAATGAAAGGTGGTTTTAAAGAGGTGGCTCTTCAGGGCTTTTTTAAACATGGAGACTGTGGATGAATCTCTGATGTGTTTGGGTAGGGAGTTCCAGAGGGTGGGGGCAGCAGCGGAGAGGGCCCTGTCCCCCCAGGTCTTATGTTTAGTCCTGGTGGCATGTGTTGTCAAATCATATTTCACAAGAAGAGCTTTAACGGTTTAACAGTAACACACACAATATGTTTGACACCAACAGACTATTTTGACAACTGAGGAAACAAAACCTTTAAACATTTCACTTTTCTGGTGGAGGAGGTTCACCGCATGCTTGTCTCTGTTAAGATGTTAATACTTTCACTGGAATGTTCCTCAGTATGGCATTAAATTCTTTCTCTATGAAGATGCCATGAACTAAAGTGTCAGGTCAGATAAGAGAAAACATTCCAGGCAAAGCAATAACAAGCAAGTAGCAGACCCCCACCAGAAAAGTTACATATTGTATCTTTAAGTTATTAGTACATCTCAATAACATACGTATGGGTCAGCACTTTGCTCCTTCTTTTGTATTAGGGGTGTAACGATATCATCACAGTATAAACCTCACGGTATGATATTTATTGCGATATCGTGGGAAAGCTTGTGATATGGTGGGGAGGCTCACGATTAGGAATGTAACAATATCCAAATCTGTCTGTAAGATATTTTCATGATATACATCTCACGGTACGATATTTATTACGATATTTTGTGGAGGCTAACAAAACTGTTAATATGCTACTTTTTCCTTTTAAAATGCCTTGACAAGATTTAAACCAAAGAACTAAGACTTAAAAGTGCTTCTTCATGTAGTCTACACAGAAATGGAGCAAAGGATTATGGTCTATGTAGTTCCCTCTTTCTTTCTTTTTTAGCTATTGCTGCACCAGAAGTCTTAATTAAAGCAAAGAGACTTGTGATTCGATATCTTGTGAGAGTCCACGATATTATTGTGAGAACTATGGCGATACGATATCATGATATTACTGTTGTTGTTACATCCCTAGTTTTCATGTTTTTAAAAATGCACTTAAAGACTTAAAGATTGTTTTGTTTATTAATTTTACTTTCAGTTTTCCTGACGATGACTCGGGCCGGGCCAGCTGTTACGATTCGGACCACCCCGACCAAGACCCTCTCATCCCCATGGCAACCCTCTTACCAGGCCAGCCGGAGGACAGGGAGGCTTCTTCTGACAGAGGTCTCACCCACACCACAGCACCCCAAACCTGGGTCAACACAGACTTTTACGCCCAGGTCAGCAACGTGATGCCCTCTGGGGGGGTGGTCCTGTCTCCTGGCCAGCAGCTCCGAGCACAAGAAAACCAAGAAGATGCCAAAAAGGGAAGCAAAAGTGAAAATTGTGAAGAAAACGCAAAAGATGTACATTTTCAGCTGGTGGTGGTGGATCCAGAAAATACAGAGATTAAACAAAATAACACTCCCTCGACCTCGCCAGTCTCCAATGAGAGCTACCAGACCGTCCCACTGCAAACCGTGGACCCCAAACCCCTGGAGGAGCAGCAGTCGCCTTACATCCTGCCCCCCGACTCCCCCCAGTCTCCCCCCTTCACCCCTGTGGCAGACTACACAGTGGTACAGGAAGTGGACAGCCAGCACAGTCTGCTGCTAAACCCGCCCCCACAACAACAAGCCCCGCCCCCCTGTCAATCACAACACCCGCTCAAATCCCTGCCCGCCATGCCTGTGGACTACATCACCCCAGACCTGTTTGGACACCTCTCACAATGAAAACAGAAAAAAATAAACATATCAATGCCAAATATGTTTTCAAAAAGGGAACTGTGAAAAGACCTTGCTGCGTCTGTTTTAATGGAGGCAAAGAACGACCGTATTAAGTTTAAGGTCCACGGGTGCCAAGTATTATGGACTCTTAAACCGCTTGGTGTCAGTGTCAAGATTTCCCTGTCTTAATCTCAAACAAAGAAGGTAGTTATAGGTATAAGACAAGCACATTCTAGTTATGGAATTTTGAAAGGAGATTTATTTTTCATAAGGAATTATCTATAGAGGCCTTGTTTAAAAAAAGACTTCTAAGACACAGCACATGTACTAAGCATTCCTATCTCGCTCGATTGTATTGTGTTGTATTTTTATATGAAAAGACAAAACTCAAAAACAGTGATAACGCTACATGAAGATGATCACGTTTGAATCTTGGCCCAAGCCCGACCCAAATCTGTAACACGTTTAGAACCCATATTATGCTATTTTCTGATCTTTGTTAGGATAATACATTTTAAGACCAATATTGTACACAGAAATATATGATAATTTTGAAACTACTTCATGCCACTAATGCAGTAACACCAAAACAAGATTTTCCCAGTCAACCATTTTAAATAGACAGTATCATTAAACTCAAATCTTTTTGTATTACCACAAAAATACCCAAAATATGCCCACTTTTACAAAGAAATTACACACATGATAAATGTTGAGCCCCAAAATATATTATTCCATCAAATGTTTTGTGATAGGTTTTATGACAGCGTTGTTTTATTTCATTCAAACAAACCCTGCATATTTAGGCTGAAACAGAAAATACTCTGTTATGTGGTAATATATGAAGGGCTCCATTGTGTTTTTAAACTTTATACACCTTCACTAGAATTGTTTGGATTATATCAGCTCTACTGAACACCCGTCATGACATCACAAGGTAAAGCAGAGCATTTTGAGCTTTGGCGATGTGTAACTAACTTGTCGTAAAGCTCAGTTTTGCATAATATAGGACCTTTGATGTAACTCAGAATGCATGCATAGGCTTGGATCGGGTTTTGGGGCCTGATCTAAACTCTTGGGACAATATATTTTTTGAGATAAAATAGTTTTAAAAGAAAAAAAAATACAGTGTCTGAACCACAGAGTGCCTTAAAGTGCATATTGAAGGGATAAAAAACAGAAGATAATTTACTTGTGTTTAATATAATACCTGTCTTGTGGTATTAAAAATGAACATATTGCATTATGAAGAAACTGGAAATGTAATGTGAAATTAGTTGCCATTTAAGCCTGTACATAAACTCTAACTAACAAAGCAGGTTCTGTTGACCTGTGTTATTAGCTTATTATAATGGCTTGCTTGTCTCTTAGTTAAAAATATTACGGTAGCTTCATGAACTGCTCTATATTGACAAGCCAGCACAGGCTTTTATTCTGCTCTGCCAAAGTGGTAGTTCGATGTAAAAATGCTTGCAGGGATGGTCACATTTTGACATATTTCACACTAAAACATCAGTGACATTTTGAGAAGCTGTGAAGTGTTTTTACCTGTTTTTCTTTTCTTTTTTTTTAAATTAAAGGTGCACATCGCGACTTTTCTGGTGGACGCTCTTGTTATTGCTTTGCCTGGAATGTTCCATGGGAGGACTTTAAACATGTCCATCTCATTTATTCATTATGGCTGTTTCTATTGCTCAAAAATTCAATAGTTCCTTCTGTGAATAGGGGTGACAGATCTGTAACCTACTTGTGTCCCTCACGATAGATTGGTTTAATCTATACTGTGGAACATTCTAGACAAAGCAGTAACATTTCCGTGGAGACATCAGTGCACCTTTAATGTCTTTCAGAAAGTGAAATAATATATAGCAGAAAGTACTGAACTCTTACTATGGTAAATGGTCAAAGTTATGTGGACCAGAGTAGTGTCACAATAAAATTGGAATCCAGATGGTAAATCTAAGAACTGAACTAGATACTCATTTGAGCAAGTATCGATACTGAAAAGAATAATTTATAGGAAAAAACTGAACCTTTGCTCAATAGTATTACAGTGGTCTAGAATCAGAACAAGTAAGGAGTTTTAATTATTATTGCGGCATCAAAATCAGCATTAAGTTTCAAACCAGTCTTTATTTGTGGGTTTCAGTATCCATATCCAGTTATATGCAACATTTTGAGGATTTTTTCCCATTCAAAAGATACAGTATTTTGTTTTAAATTGTTAAGATATGCTGTGACGATGCTTATAATTTCTGAAACCTGAAAAATCCTCGCCGTAAAGATGTTTTTCATAAGCTGTCCTACTGTAAATACGTCAACATTTTGCAATATCTTTTTGGATGATCTCAATAACAGACTAACAAATTGAAATATATATATAAAAAACAGACTTTATTCACTGTAAAAACACAGTACAACAGCAGATGTCGATTTGCATTTGAAAACCTCTTTGTTGATTGCATTATTGAGCTGCTCAGCATTGGTTACATAACTTGTGTAAAGGAAACTATAGTACCTACTCTTGGGACATATTGTTGTTATTATATTTGTCCGGTTCATTACGTTGAAGTGCCAGAAGCCATTGTGAAGCCTTTGCAATCACAATCAACATTTAATCATACTCTCATACTTCACGGAGCAAATAAAGCATGTTCTGTATTTAGATTACATCGCCTCAGATACAAGTAATGCATCGCTTTTATGTGTTCAGTAATCACAAAAGCTCAAGTATACGCTGAAAATGTGAATATATGTTATGTTTTTACCCCATGTGGTCGCAAACATGTCTTAATATATGTTTTTAAAATGTTTTTTTTTTCTGCTAGTCACAACTTTTTGCTGCTCGGTACATGTATTTCTGTATTCAAGCCTTATTGATAAAACTGTTCAGGAATAGAGGAAAAGCCTGTTAGAATAAGTTGTGGAAGTCTGCCTATTGATTCTGTTGTAACCATACAGTCTATGGTTGTAACGTTGTATTATTTTTCTTGTTTTGTACATGAAGGAGAAGCTTGATTTAAGACAGATTTTGTTTGCATCATAGTTATTGTGAATGTTCCTTCAGATAAGTACAGTGTAAAGTTGTATGCAGTAGGTGAGATTTAGTTCCATCTAGTGGTTGGGTTATAAACTACTAGTCTTTTTCTAAAAAACTTTATTTTGAGATCTTTACGGTCTATTTTTGAAGAAATACTTAACACTAAGGAAATGTGTAGTTTACTAAATACTTACAAAGTGAAATGTATAATGTACGCTGAATAGCATGTGTCATTTACTCTGTTTGATATTGGAAATTATTGTGACATAGGTGTTAGGTGCTGCAATAACAATAATATTGCAACATTTTGATATACTTTTACATGCCTTAATTAGTCAAACTGCTTCAAAACAAAAAATTTAACAGAGACAAAAAACTGATAATTTAGACTTAATCAGGAAATAATATGATTTAAAAAAAAAAAAAAAAAACCATCCTTTTGGACCTTTATAGTATGGCGATATATTTAGTTAGATTGTTGCAGTATCAATTATTATTACAATAGTGATACTTTTGTGGTAGATTGTCTTGCCCACTTTTGTTCATACAACAACAAAGATAAAGCTCTCAACACGCATTTGGAAAGAGATTTTATTGTTTTTGTCCCAGTACTATTCAGAAGTATTGTCCAATTGTGTGTACAGTTGTTTACAGCATTTCCTACCAGCTCACTACAAGCGCATTCTTAATGTAGTGCGGATATTATTTTAGTATTAATGTTACAAACGCGGCAAGCACTTTGTATCCTTATGGTATTTAGATACATGTATCATAATTATTCAGATTAACAAGAGTATTTTGTTCTAATCTCTCTGAATGATATTTTATGTATTATTTTCTTATGCAGAACAATAATCAAATGAGGGTTTTAGCAACACTTAGTTTTGTTACTGCTTTTGTTTTTGGGAGAGTATTTGACACTACCAGATCTGTAGTAGAAAGATGTACTGTAATGGGGTGTGTAATAACATTTGTGGAGATGTAAGGACAGTGTGTTTTCATTTCAGTCTTTACACGACAAAGTGAAATGACTACTGTAAATCTGAACTTAACATTTCGATGTGATTTTAGCATTTCAAGTGTTTAGTGTCAAAGTGATTTTTTATTTTTTTTTATTTTTTTTTTTATCAAATGTCTGTCAAACCTGGAAGTAATCTGGATTATTGTAGATTTTGTTGAGTCAAATGATGAGACTGAGTGGGGCAATTCTTTTTTTTTTTTGTTTTTGTTTTTTTGACCACACTGATTATAAGGCAATGGCATTTCTGTAACTTTTGGACTATTTCAATTTAAAAACAAGCGCCCGGAGCTGCTGGTCTGGTCATTTGGCTGTGGAGGAGAGCTGTGCTGATTTTGGCTGATATCTTTCTGGTATTAAGTGTGTCATCAGAGCTTTTCATTCAGTTACATAATAAACATGTTTTAAAATGGCAGGTCTGGAAAAAGTGTGTGTTACTTCTACACTAGAAAATATAGAATAGAATACTTAAGTGGTTTCATCTTCTTGTTTATAGGCACCATTTTGAAAATTTTTCACCATTCAAACAGATATAATCATTTGTTTTGAATTGTTAATTGGCATGCCTTTTTATCACACTGAAATCCATTGGGCCGATTCTATAAGAGTCCTTATAGGAGCCATTTTAGACTTTGATTTAGACAAACTTTATTGATCCACAAGGGAGATTATTTGGACAAAGTAGCTCACACATCACAATATATTATAATAAAGAGCAAAAATATTAATGTTAAAATAAGCAGCTAGAGACTAGTGTCAAATACATAAGGCATAATTATAAATGTATATGTAATATAAATATGAATATGTCTCAGCTATTTACAAAAAAGTTGTTACTTCATTTAAAGTAATCAACTAACCAAAAGCATTAGTATGGAAGAATAAACAGATCCAAGATTTTGTCAATGAAAGCAGTTAAGACAGTGTTTGTCAAACCGTGGTACATGTCCCACTGATGGTACACGGGCGCCCTCTGGTGGTACCCTTTGCACTTTCCAATTAATAAAACATTGGTTAACTACTTTATCAGTGGTTTTGTCCTGCTTATGTCTAATTCAGACCAAGTGTAACTTTAATTCAGGCCTGATAATTGGGTTTATTACTCAAAGAGACAAATATTATGTTAAAGCCATGAGTTATAGGTGCCATATTATACTATTTTCTGATCGGTTATAACGTTCTTTCCTCAAAAGAAACATACCTGGAGTTGTGTTTTGTTTCATTCACTCATTCACTTGAGTTCTTCTCTCAGTATGATTTGGATAATTTTAGCCCTGCAATTGCCAATACTGAGCAAAAGGTCACTATTAACTTGAACACTACCACTTCATGACATCACAAGGTGGAACAGAGCATTCTGACCTTTGGAAATGCAGACAGACTAATAATAAAGCGTTATTCAAACATGTGTGAATAAAGCAAAACACAACTCCAGGTTTGTTTTAGAGAAGGTAACTACATTCTAACATGGCTTAAAGCTCACAAGGGGCATTTTTGTGCAATATAAGCCCTTTAAAATAAGGAAGAGATCATATGTAAGCCTAGCACTTCAACTTCAACACCACAGGTTGCTGAGAGGAATAGACAGACTGTACTGACAGTAAAGCAGAGCCTACACTGAAATACATGAAGTCTCCATGCTTGTTGGTGATCATGTTGAACAGGTCTGTGTGCTGCTGTGTTCTGAGGCACCAGTGGAGAATTAAGATGGAGCCTGGGCATCGTGCCGCTCTGTGTGCTGCTGATTGAATCAAGAAGGCAGCCGCTAACCGCTCCTCATCTCGGGACATTGCAGGTAATTACCCATAAGTCACTGCTGCTCCCCGCTGTATTGAATCTTAAGGCCAATTACACCCACACGAGCAGGCCGCTCCTGCTCATTTAATACCTCCGCTTGCTTGTTGACCTTTAGACACATGGGTCCTGACAGCATACTTAAATGCATTAGGAATATGAGCACTGGGGGATGCACTTAAAGGTAACGGACAGAAATGTTACATAGTGTCAGAGCAAACGTTTACATTATTATTATCATTATTATAATTATTAATTTTTTAAATGTATTAATTTTTTTAAATTTTTTTGTTAGTTTTTTTGGACAACAGTTGCTATTAGTATTAGCTTGTTAGATTTAGTGCAGTTGATCTCTCTGAGGGGGTTCTATAGCCTATTTGTATGGCAGAATGTTCAGTAGTACAAAATGATGCACACATTAGTAAACACTGACACATGTTTTTATGAAAACTCAAGAAAAACACATTTTCTTTCTTTCTTTTTTATATGATATATGATATGATATAAGGTAAAACTATTGTATACCATTTTTCTCATTTCTCATTATTAGATATATACATACATGCACATACATATTCCCACATGTACAGTTATATAGGCATAAGTAGACTTACATATGTCTGGATGCACATGCACATATACATGTAACATGTACAGCAAACAATACATTTTCCGGAACCTGTGATCAATCCGAGCGTTCACAGTCCCATTTCAGCTGGTGACTGTAAAGTTCTTTGAGAGGGACTTGTTGTAGTTTCAGCTAAGTCAGTTCTTTATCATCCGATTGGGTTAAAACAAAGCTCAGATTCAAGTCTAACTTGAGTAACAGAGCTACAGACAGAACAGAGCCTACAGTTAGCGTCACATTCCCAGGGAATGTTCATGACATGAACTGCAAAGTATCAATAGCACATTTTTTGGTAGGTAGGAATATAATACTAGTTTGTATTTAATGATTAGCAACTATTTATTCAAACCCCATAAGCTAAAATTTTATTAAAAATAAATAAATAAAAGCTGTAATATTATTTGAGTCTAAATAGAAAACTTCTGTCTGTTTGCCTTTCCTTGTTTATCAAACTGAATCCATCCTCTCTAGGCCTGTGTGCTCTGTCAGTGCAGCAGGTTGTGGTGCCACCAAGCAGCCACCAGAGGGCACTATCACACATGCTCAAATGTTAGTATTTAATCAGATGTATTTGAATAGAATTTTACAAAAGCGCAGATATTTTCTTTTGAGCTAGAAATTTACATATCTACTGTAACTTACATAAAAACTATTTAGTATTGAACTTTCATTTCAGTATAAGATAGCCTATACGTTTATTACACTAATTGGTCTTTCACATATTATTCTTATCGTCTAAGATTCTATTAAAATGGATTTAGATTTAGACACACTTTATTGATCAAGGGAAATTATTTGGACACAGTAGCTCACACATCACAATATATTATAATAACAAAGTGAAAAAATCTATTTAGTGTTGTGTTGAATCTGTAAAAATCTCTTTGACTGACCAATTGTTTTCATTGGATTACTTTTAAGTATATAATCTTTGTTTGTTTGTTTGTTTGCGCTCAATAAAGCTACACCTGCAAAACATGCAAACTCCACAAACAAGGGGCATGGTCAAAGGGTACGAGTGTCCTATCTGATCAATAGTGTTGTTTGTTGATCGTCCAGTGGAGTACATACATACATACACAGAGACACAGAGAGAGAGCTAAATAAAGAGAGTGAGATGTCAGCTCTATTCAACAAAGCTCTTCTCTGTACAGTGTGGCAGGCTGATTATGAAACAACAACAGACAGTACATGGTATTGGTGTATTAAAGGTCTCTATATAGTATTGTTTTTATACATAACAAATCAGACAGACGATGAGTTAATATGCAAAAATGAAATTCAGTGAAATACAGCATTTTTGCACTAGATGGCAGTATTGTGCAGTCATCAACCCCACCCTGATGAGTTACAACACACATGTCAAACTCAGGCCCGGGGGCCAAATCTGGCCCACAATATAATTATATTTGGACCACGAGATCATATCAAATATGTATTAGAGCTGCCCCACCAGCTGCCGTGCCAGTATGACGCTAATACTACAAATCCTAGAATGCTTTGCATATCTGTTGCCATATTTTGACTGGTTGTTAGCTTGTAAAAAAAAAAAGAGGCATAGAGACATTATTTTAATATTTTTTTAATTATTATTTTATATTATATATGCTTATATATGCTCGTTCTGAATTCAATGTTTAAGCAAAACTATTATTAAACATTTATTTTAATAAGAAAAGGTTTAACATTACATACCTCAAAAGAAGAGAAAACATGCAGATGTTGTTGAAATTTTTCAATAAATATTTAGTTTGGCCCATGACTTAGTCCCAGTTTTTAATTTTGGCCCTCTGTGAATTTAAGTTTGACACCCCTGAGTTACATTCATTTTGATTGTGAAAACTTTAAATGATTCTGTGTAGATCTTTTAAAGCAGGGGTCTCAGACTTGCGACCCGGGGGCTGACTGCAGCCCTCGGAAGGTTTTTTTGCGGCCCTCCACTTAAAGGTTGTATGGAGGATTTTTTTTTGTTTCAAATTGTCAATGATAGCATTATAGAGATGCAGTAGCCTTGTAATTATGATGACCAAAAAAAAGAGAATAAAAATTCATCAACTCTGGACGTGGTGGGGCCAGCTAAACATTTGCCAATAGATAACGACACTGCCTCGTTATCTGTTAGCTGACAGGCTGTCAATCAATCTCCCTACGTTTCTAGCGTAACTAACTTGCCTGCGTGCCGCCGGTACGTGGTTTACGTACGCCTGTCACGCAGTCCACAGACGCTGTTTACTCCACCAACGCAACAGTTCTTAGCGGCTTTTTTTGACCTATATCTTCCTCGCAGTTAGCACAAAGTTTGTTGCAATGGCAGACAAGAATCCAGGAGCAGTTAGCCGCAAAAGAAAGTCAGTTTTTGAGGTCGCTGAAAGAAGAAGACAAGGGGAAAAGCAGCGAAGCCAAACTAAGGTGATTCTTGAAGATTCATTCCAGCGATGGCGCAACTGAAGCAGACGCAGGGTCTAAAGACTGACGCACTGGTCGCCAAATTACTCCTGGACAGGTCACTTCTGCTTATTATGAAAACGTACTTTATTTCCAAGAGCTAGACAAACGTTTTTCAGGACACGAAAGTGATATCCTATGTCTGAAAACGTAATTTTCAAGGCAAAGAAAGAGTCCGCTTGCTGCTGCGTGTTGTAGCTAGTTCATTCGCATTGAATCTCCGCGCAACCTTCTCTGCTCCCCTTTCCTGCTCCTGTCCCCGCTGCCCGTTCCGCTCTTCCCCCTGCTCCTCACTTCTCCGGGCACGGAATCTCCGCGCACCGCTCCCCTCTCCTCTCCTCTCTCCTCTCTCCTCTCTCCTCTCCCTGCTCCCTGCTCCGCTCTTCTCCCTGCTCCTCACTTCTCGTCCGCGCACGAAATGTCCGCGCACCCCCTCCCCCCGCTCCTCACTTCTCCGCCTTGCCTAACCAACACTGTAGTTAGTTGTTTACAAGTCATGTGCAGCGCACCGGCTGTAAACAAACCTGTTTCTGGCGTAAGGAGGAGGC